TAACTTATAAGATATTTTCATTAAAAGGGCTCGTAAAAAGCTATATTTGAGAGTGGCTAGTTTTAGTTGGTGGTTTGTGACATGGCCACGTAGCCCAATTTCCCTTCCTTAATTGGGCAAACCCACACCCACACACCCCCCACCCCAAAACAAAAAAAAAAAGTACCCGGAGGTTTCAATAAATTTCCCAAAAATCGCTGACCAAGATTCAAGAACCGAAATCCAATTGCGACCCGACGAATCGAGCCAGTTTCAAACGAATTTTTCTGGCGCAGTTGAACATGAAAATCCCTATAAAAAAAGGATCGGATATGAACTTACCAAAACATTGTAATTAAGATTTCAAGGGGGCATGGCAAATTGGCAATCTCTATTGAAAAAAAGGGAATGGCAAATAAAGGTTTCAAGTTTATAAATTGCAGTGATAACATGTGTAAAAGTTAAAGGCCTTCGAAACTAGCTAGAGAGTTTTTTACCTTTGAAAAACTTGGTGAAAAATGAATGAAACCCTAATTTGCTCATAAGGGAAGCCCTTAAACAAGCTAGAAATAAGTCAATAACAACATCCAACCCAACATTGATAAGACAGACATGCATATTTCACATTGACAGATACCAGGATACTAATCATAAACAAGCCTTGACATAAGTAAGTTCATGAACATTCATACTAAGCATACATAGACAACTACTTCATTACGTAAAACAGACACCATGCACGAAATCGAAATAAGCACGAAACGCTTAAGCTAATAGTAGTCGATGCGATTCTTCTTGTTGTTGTAGTGGAACTTGGATGATGAAGATTCAGTCTTGCTTGGATAAACAGACTCCTTGAACTTCACCTGGGTCTGGTACTCGGTGGTAAACCCTAACTCCTTGTCCACGTACTTTTCGGTAGAGGTGAACTTAGCCTCTTGCTTGTAGCCCAACCGACCAGTGCTCATGTCCACGAACTGTTCAGCCTTGTAATTTTCAGTGTAATGGCTTGAGACTCCACCGTATTCATCTTTGTACGAAGATCGAGCTTTGCTCTGAATTTCTCTAGACTCATTGAGCTTTGGTTTGCTCAAAGGCACCACTTTAAGGTAGCCAATCGTGCCACTGTTTGCATACTCAGACTGCTTTGTAGCTTTCTTCTTCGTCATTCTGTTAATGGAGAGGTATTATGTTTAAGTTCTGAACTTTGAGACGGGGTTTTAATTACTCCAAGCCTCCCCACTTGTAAATTTAAAAAACTGCACCGCAATTTAATTTTAATTGAATTTTTGTGTGTACTGATGAACTGATCGATGACGGCATGGTCAGCAGATTGCATCATCATTTCAGGCTACTGCATGAATAGTCACATCGCTAGAATTCATAGGCATCACATCGGCATGGTCTGCAGATTTCAGGCTACTGCATTCTTTTCCAACGATAAATAATTAAAAAAGTACATTTGCTTAAATATTTTAAGGTTATCTCCCACCCAACCCAAAACTCCTTTTATGTGCACGTACCTAGATTAGACTTGCACACCAGGTGTCAGTTTTTTGTTCTCAAATAAAACTTATTTGTAACCATGCATTGATTTTTAACTTTCATTGCTTTCTTCGATTTCCCATTTTATATTTATCCATTATCCCCAATTTTTCCCTTTGACACCAGATGTGATGTAAGTTCATTTTACTTTAAAATCAAGTTTGATAAGGAACTTTTTATTTATGTATTGAGGTAAAAGCAATCTGTATGTTTATTTTTCTTCTCTTGCAGTCAAATAGTTACACTACCAACACCTTTTGGAAACAGTAACTGTTGCAACTGTACAGATTGGAAACTTGGGAATTTTGTCTTTCCCCTTGGTCCTAAAAGAATAATGATCCCCCTTATTTATTGATAACATGTGATTAATTCGAGCCTAGGTGATGCTTTTCTTGTTTCTGCTCCTGTTATTTGACATATTGTCATGTAGTAAGTATAAACATTGATACTTGTTTCGAGATGTATGTGATGCTTTGGTTCTATGTGAAAATTATTGAAGGTGGGCTGGATTAATCATTTCGTGAAGAGCGATAGGGTTCTGTTATTGTGAATAACACATCCAGTTCTCAATTACTCATTGACGTGATCTCGTTGTTTTGCATACTCATGTGAGAACAGAAGGTGATGATCTACACGAATGCATAGGGGTATGGATGAATTCTGATATCATGAATTTTGATCGCATTTTCAACTTGCAAAAACAAAATCCATCTTTTCATTAAGGCTATAAGGAGCATTTACATTCCTGGATTCTGGTGAATGTAACAAAATATGACTGATTCAAATCTCGTTTATATACTCTCACTGTTGTCGTTTGAAAGATAACTTAGTTTATATGCATGGCAATCACTGAGAAATTCTTAATTCAACAAGATAGTTCTCAATGAATGCTTTTTTTGGCATGTAGGTTTTTGCCTACCAAGAGTAGCAGCGAAAGGTGGAGATTAGATAAGAAAAGTAGTGAATCCATACAGACATTGAATGCAAAAAAGGGCAAAAGGAAGGGAGATTCGAGAAATCTCGTTAGTCTGTTAATGATGCCGCACAAGAAAAGAAGTATTCCACGTTTTTATAGACAATCAACTCCCAGTTGCAGAGAATTTGAATAACTCAAGATTGTAAGTTTATTAAAATCTTTAATTTAGCCAGCTTAACAAAAATCTAATACAATCAATTTGAATCAAATTATCAAGGTTGGCAAGAAGTTGATGTTTTGTGCATTGGATAAAAGTAGACGTTGTATATTTACACTATTACGCTGCTAGATCCTCACATTTTGTTTATTTTCTCACTTTTTAAATAGGTGACTATAATTGTTAATGAAACGCTCAGCTTTACCCTCCAACCGGTATTCTTGCAAGGCAAGCAACAAAGAAGGTTAAGCTCGGGAGCTTGGAAATTCCTGCTGGTGCACAAATTTATTTGGCGTCGGTTGCTCTCCATCACGACACAGATTAGGGGTAGTAGTGTGCTCTCAAGGTCCTTTGTTTGGAGGTGTTCAAAGAAATGTGAAGTCTTCAAGTGATAATGTCCTTGTTTGTTGGAGGTCTCTGGATAGTTTGGTATTTCTTTGTATATCTCATCGTTTTGTTGTTAGCTTTAGTTTACTGTACAACTATAAAGTTTGAATCTATGATTTTTTATTTAATTTTTATATTGTAGTAAATGTGTAATTTTGTTTATAAATATTATATAATACATTTATTAAACAATTTTTTTTTTTGGAATTTTTTTTATAACGGGCATTAGCCGTGACCAATTTGTAATCCACAACGGTTATAGTGCACATGGTTTTAGATTTTAATCTACAACGGCCACAATCCGTACAATTGACAACGGGCATAGCCCGTGTTAGAATTTGTGACTTTCTATCACATCCAGATTACTAACGGGCATAATATCTGTAATGGATTGCAATCTATCACTGGCATCGACCGTGATAGATGAGCTTTTTTCTACTAGTGATTATGAAGTGTGTGACATCAAATCTTGAACTGTTAATAATGTTTTCAATGGAATTTATTGGAAGCCCAAAAGGCCCAAAAGAAAACAAGCTAAATCCCCTAAGGCCCAAGCTAGCCCATAATGTGATTGTTTCTCCAGTCCCATTCGATAATTAGCTTTACTCTCATGCATGCGTACTGTTTAATCACGAGTTTAGATTTACTAGGATGATTGAAAAAGATATTAGACTTTTGAATCCTTACTCTCATGCATGCATCCTTTCTCTGTCCACTTTTTCTTAATCATTTGAATCATTTTTGTACTGTCGTCACACTTTCCACACATGTTAACGTCAATGTTTCATTAAGATAGGCCTATAATCAACACTGATATTTTTTTATAACTTAACTATCCGCTAATCCAATAGGAGTGGAGTTTTTTCCCTATAATCTTGATGTAATTAGAAATGGGACCATATTGATGTAAATCGTAATTTTGTTTCAAATCTCCTAAGTGGATTTCTTACACAAAAGGTGTATACTCTAAATTATTGGGGGATGGTATTTAGTTACAAAAAATAGGAATTAAAATGATTTTGGTTATTGAGTTCTATACATTTAGCAAAATATGAGTATAAATTCATTTCACTTCTCAACTTTTTCTTGTATTTACTAACACATATAGAATCAGAAAAGTGTGAATTTTTACTTACGATCCACACTAAAATGCCTAGAAACTATGAATTAGGTCAATTAGGGAAGCTATTGAATCCAATTCTCTTTTCCTTACTTCCCTTATTTTTAAGGTCTCAAATTTCTTCATTCTCGCACTTCGATAAAGTAAACATACCTTAGATTATATACAAAGTATTTTTTAGGAGAGACTTTTATGAAAAAGGTTCACCCGCACAGTAGTGTTTGTTGAGAATGAATCCCACATTGATGTGAGAATGACCTTACAAGGTCCATCCTCTCATCAAGGTGGGATTCATTCTCAACACACCCCCTCACGTGTGGTGAAATTTCAAGTCTAACACGTGGACAACACAACTCAAGTGGCATGGAGTATGTGTGGCTGTTAAGCTTCACACGTGACAATCTACTCTGTAACCATGGAAAAAAAAGTCACCGGAATTGTTTAGTAAAAGATTTGTATTTAATTTGTAATTCCTTTTTTTTTTGTGAGCCTTATTAGGTTAGAGATTTACTATGAGAATGCTTCCGTGTATATTGTACTATTCAGATCAATGAAATTCATTCATTCTCAACAATGTTCTAGTCCAATAATACAAATATTATTTGCAAATCTCTTAATTCTCAATTCTCATTACATAATATATATTATTGAACCGAAATGTCGCCGTCCCTTCCATATAAATTGCTTCTTTTCAGTTTCAATGATAATTCATTAATACAGTGAGCAGTTAAAAAGATCCAAAGACAATTGTCCCAACTCACAAGGGAGCAATTGTTTGATACTTTTGCATGAATGCAAAGTGGAATAAGTCACGACCGTGCCTCTCTGTCGACCAATAAAAACAGAATAATGCTTTCACTAACAGATAAATATTTTGGTACATTCATGCAATACTCCAAATTCAGAGGGCCTTGGACGCTCAACTACTCTTTCACAAGGTGGGATCCATCTCACGGGAGGCCCTCCAACAATTTCCAAGCCAACTGTTTATAACTGAAAACGAAAACAATTCAATTAACTTGTGTAGTACCATATGCAGCCAGAAGGAGCCATTCTTCGTAACACATGTGCACATTTTTCACTTTGTGCTCATGATCTACAGGTAAAAAAGAATGGCTCCTTACAGGCTTAAGCAAAAGCCGAGCTAATCTCAGCATTCGGGTGTTTGTGTATGGTCTCTCTTTGGATCATGGCAATAGTCATAGACCAAGTAGTTCCGCTGCACCCACTCCATGGCCGAGTACTGCTGCTGACTCAGCCCCGATGAGCCGAACGGTGAGGCGGAGGGCGGTCGGCATAACGTAGGGCTATCGGATTTACACCCACCAAGCTTGAAATTGTTGTACTTGCCAATAAATGGTTGGTACTTGTAGTCGGCTTTGTATTTTCCATCCTCTGTGGCCCATGATGATGCATCCCATATAGATCCATATGCCCACATCGGCCTCAATGGAAATGTGGCATCACTGTCTCCCTGGTACCTTCTTATGGGCACATCATCCACCAGGAATCTGCAAATTAATTACATCATATAAATATCTATAGAACATATTTAAGTCAAATGAAATTTTATGTTGCCTCACAGTTTAACATTGATTCTTGTACTATATGTATCAAACAATTTGGATTTGATGTAACAAACTCAATGAATATGAAAGATTTTAAGCCAAAAGGAAAACAAAAGGGTAATGCTAGGGAGACTATATAAATTTGTGGATTAAACGTTGCAAACTAAATGACATGAAAATTGATGATTAAATTATTACTTAAGTGTTAATTAACGTGTTTATTTCTATTGGTGATGCATCATTTAGTTTACAAATTAGTCTATCTAGTATTACCCAAAACAAAAACAAGAATATAAAACGGACGAGTTTGATAATTATTTATTTTTTTATTTTTATTTTTTTGGATAGAAGTTTGATAATTATTTAGTTTAGTTTTACCTTTTGTGCATGAAATGTAAAACAAAATGATTAAATACAAAAATACATAATACAGAAAAAGAAAACTGAAAACAAAAAATCAAATAGTTTTGAGAGGAAATAATTGTGGTTCACAGATTCCCCTTCTAAACTACAGTGGACAAGACACTAGACAGTTTGGCTTGATGTTTACCATACCTAAAAACACATGTGACATGCCATGTACAAAGGTACAAGATTCAAGAATTTTGTGGCACTACTCTATACTCACATGATCTCAGTAGGGTTCCATAATATAGCGTAGTTGTGAAAGTCCTGTGTTGGATCAAACCAGAGATGAAATCTCTTCTCTCTTCCAATGATGTTTCCATCTCCACTTCCTCTAATGTAGACATTGGTTTGCAGAGTATAGGGCTTATCAGGAGTTGTACCAAGGAACTCAATATCGATTTCATCGTGGTTGCCCGGATGTTCTTCGTTGTTGGAGAGCTATTAAAACAATTTAAAAAGTTAGACTTAAACACAATTTTCACTTTTGTATTCAATCTAAGAATTTAACAATCCAATGTTAACGTGTGCACAAGAAGTGATATCGATACACCCATTTTCTCCTTTGCATACATGTTTATTCTACCCTTTGAATAGTATAAATGAGAGAAAGTAAGTGACAAATATGAGTAAGGTTGCACAGAAGGGAAAAAAATGCGTAGAAATCGTTTTGAATGTGCACTTATGCAAGCAACGTCTCACATACATAGAATGAAGTAATTACTCCAGCAGTGTAACCAGGTTGGAGCTTAACGGCTGCACCAAAATATCCAGAACGGTACGGATGAAGTGACTTGAACCCACTTCCTGAAATATGTCAAAAAAGTAGCAGAGAATAAAACAATCTGAGAAAATAAGCACAGAAAACACTTAAACTGAAGTACAAAAAAGCACGAAAATATGCTGGAAAAAAAAAAAAAAAACAATTGAGGTATGGAGTGAAATCTTCTAATTTGATGAGAAGCCAAATCAAAACTCAAAAGCACTTGATGAAGGTATAAAAAAGCATGAAGCTTTGCTTAAAAACTAATGAGATATGAAGTGAATCTTGTAGGGTTGAGTACCTGAGCTACTGTCAAGCCAGAGTGTTAAAGTACCATGGTCTAAATTTTGATGTTGAGGACCCCAAAGGGTTCTAAAACCCTGATCAAACCCTAGAGTGCTAATTTTAAAACTAGGGTTATAGCCAGGTGAGGGGGGACCCTGAGCAATGCTTGAAGAAATCATTAGGAAAAGAAGGATTAGGAAGATGAGAGGAGCCATGAAGATTGAATTAAGAAAAGGATAGAAGGAAATGCAGCGAAAAACAGAGGGGTGGGGTGTGAGAATTTTGAAGTTAGGTAGGCATATGAAATGAGTATGGGATTACATTTGGGTATAAATAGAGTTATCTATAGGCTCCACATTGCAAAGGTGATAAGTTGGTTGATGGGGAAGTTATGCATGTAGACAAAAAGTTTACCTAAAAGGATAAAACAATAAAGATAATAAAAGAAAAGAGGGTAAATTGACATTTGACTTCTGAACTATTATTCTAGTGAAAATTGACGTCATAAACTTTTTTTTTTGTGTAAATTAACCCTGAACTAATTGAAATCAACCAATTAACCTCTCGTCGTCGGATTCTATGAAATTTGATCCACTTTGTCGTCAAATATTGATAGAACTTTACCCTCAAGAGTGAATCACAAGTTGGTCACGTGCTAGTATTTGATGGCAAGGTAGATGAAATTTCATCGAATTTGACAATGAGGGGTTAATTGGCTAATTTCAAATAGTTCAGAAGGTTAATTTATCAAAAAAGAAAGTTCAGGGGATCAATTCAACTAGAGTAATAAATTAGAGGGTCAAACGACAATTTACTCAAGAAAAAAATAGTTCAACATGTGGGATAGGGTTTTTGACTTTTCTCTCCTTTCCCCTCAAATAGATGTGATGAAAAAACTTCCATTTATGTCAGAAAATATTGTTAGTTGTAAGTCATTGTTGTTCCCTGCGAGAATCAAAGATTAACTGTTTAATTTGTTTGCTTCATGACAGGACTGCTTACCTTATAATTATGTCATAGATTTCGGAGAGAAATTTCCCAAAATAGCTTAAAGCTTGGACATGTATATATGTACATTCTTTGTGATCCTGACCAAGTATGACGGAGCTTTGTGGATGTGCATAAAAAGTGAAAGAGTGGGAAGTTATGCATCCCCGTGCTTTGGAAACTATACATTTTCAGGAAAAATGTATCGGGCAAGTTTACCTATTGAAATCTTGTTTGATCTTAGTTTTTGGTTTAAAACCAATTTTCTTTTGTCTTGAGGTCTCCAAAAATGGATAATACTTCGTTCATTCATTTGGAAGTAAGAATTTTACGTTTTTCTTAATTACAGTTTGATGACATGCGTCAAAAAGAAAATTTTTTGAGGTAGGAAATTCTTGTTTTGCGAAAGAGCCAAGTAATTTCTTCAAAAACTTTACTTGGATATTACATTCTGCAAAAGAAATGAAATATTTTTTAGCTTAATTAGTTAACAATTATTCCGTAGTAAGTACGTGTATCAAAATTTATTTGTATAAAAAGACAAAGAGGTTGGCTTTATTAGCCCTCTTGCAAACCCGCCAACAAAGAATAAACACTAATCTGCACTAGCCCTCTTTGTCCAAAATATCTCTTACCTTTATTAGGAAATGCATGCTTGTATGTATATATATCTCTGTGTGTGTGTGTATGTAGGTCATGTTCTTTATTCATGTTGTCATGATGTTGATGTGGCCAAACATTGGATTCCGGAAAAGTGGCTATAGGTTTCGGAAAAGAATGCTCGCAGAATCTTTTTTTGGAATTCTAGAAATTTTGTGATCATACATAGTATATCGTGTGGTAAAAAATTATTTTAAAATTTAAAATTTAAAATTAAATATAAATAATACTTAACGAAAACTAACCACGTGATGTACGATGAACGATCACAATTATAATCATGAAATCTCTAGAATTCTTAGAAAAATGATCATTTTCCATAGGTTTCTATCGTCAAATCAATGTTTAGGTGATATGATCTTTAATTAGTGTTATTTTCAATAAACGTCTAGTTTGTGTAAGTTTCAATAAGCAAGTGAAGTAATCACTTTTATAATTTTGGAGAACCCACTCTAAACCCTAAACCCGATATATATAGAGATACACACACATACAACTAAATGTCATTATATATTGGTGCGATGGACTTTTGGAGAGCTTGCAGAGGTCAAGGCAGTTCATAAATCGTGGAAGTAGGTACTCCGATTCAGTATTTGATGAACAACCTGCCCTTTACAAGGAGACTTGACCAACGGCCACATCTCAGATATGCAACTTCCTTTGACTTGAAAGTTTATTCTGGAACAAAAACGTTGAAAATCAAATTCTTCAGTTGAATATCGCGTGGATAAACAGAAAAAAAGCCACGGGTCGACTCCTTTCGCGTCAAATAGGGGTCATGCAGCATAGTAAGTTAACTACCAAGAAACTATACTTGGTAGAGAACAAAATATAATTATCGTTGGTTGACGACAACAAAAATGCTAATGTTTTGGTTCATAGATTGGTCAAATTGACCTTGTATTTTGATTTAGATTTCTTTTGGATTTGAGAAACCTGAATTTAATCCGTGATACTTTATCAGTTGATTGTGTACTCATTAATCATCAATAAAATGCTACCATTTCGGTTTTCAAAAAAAAAAAAAAAAAAAAAAAAAAAACAGTTTGAATTATCTAGCTATAATGTGGTTGGTCCCACAAATCACATTTTTTTTTGTTGTTGTTGTTGTTAATGGATTGAAGCTCGCTACAATATGTTAAAACAATAAGAAAAATAAAATCGTAGAGGGTAAATAGTAAAAACTATGTAACTCATGTACATTCATGCAGGCATGTGGCATAACAGTCTTACTCTCCTAAGGTCCTTATTTTGAGGATGTTAGAGCAATGTTAGAAAATATGAAAAATAGCAATATAATTCCAATGAAAATAATCATAAAGAAAATTACATCAATAGTATACAAGATTAATATAAACAACTACGGAGAAAGTTAGAAGTACTGATAAACTTGGAGATTAAGGCTTGCATAAATGCAATGTCCTAAAGACAGAATTTCGCCCATACTCTTGTGCTTGTAGTTCGGTAGGCGTCGGTTTCCCAGGATTCAACAATCTATAATCCGAAGTCAAAGCACTTCAATCTTCGAACTCTGGCAAACTTCATATATTCAGTACTCTCAAGACACAACTCGAAATTTGACTAACAAAAATTGAAAGACCTTGAAGAAAACTCTTCTCTTCATTCTATAAGTATACATCATTCGACAAGGGAATGCACCTAAATAACATAACCTTTCTAAGAAATATGGTTAACACTATTTTTCATTCAATTATTAAAATTATATATTACAATATTTTATACTATAATTGTTGACCCTAAAATATACCAAGCCTACGTGGCGCACAGGCCGAGTAAGTAATGAGCTAACTACGTCCTTCGGTTGATGCAGGGCGTGCCAACTCGTCGGCCGAGCTTGGCCGAGGAGTAAAATTTGTTGATGTTGCGTTGAACGCGCTACTGACTTCTTGATCTTGCAACTGCATTCAAGGAAGGAACACGTCTCAGCCTTCGGGTTCTCAAGCCTGAAGACAAGGTTGCTAGTTCTGCGAAGTTCAATATCAAATTCGGCTTTCAATGTGCCAAATATAGTAACCTGTAACACCTCACTTCGCCGAGATGGCTAATGAGATGACCTCTGCCAATAAGGATTCGAAAATCCTTCTCGACTGAGACTTGGATAGATAATCAGTCGGCCTCGACGCAGTGCTGTTTATCCAAACTGAAGGTGCTCCGGGAACGGCTGATTCTACGTGCTATTTATCCAAACTGAAGATGTCACCGGTTGCCTTCACAATGTTGTTTATTCAAACTGAAGGTGTAATGGCGGAAAAAGAAAATAAAAAATCTCAAGATGTTTGAGAGGTTTGCGCAGGGCAATTTGTGTGTTGAATTGGAGAGGGGTTCTATGGCGACTGCCGCTTGGTATTTATAGAGACCTGCATACCTAAGTCATGGAAAACAATCCCAATTGCACTGTGACTCTAAATCTTTAATTGTTGTGGCTGGCCACGCACTTATCCCATGCATAATCACAACTCTAAAAACTTATTTTTTATGCACCTAAGCCCACACCTTAGGCCTTATCACATCAATCAAAGTTTAATCTCATCCTTATCATGACCTTCCTTTTCAAAGATCCAATCTAGTTACGTCTTTACTATCATTCAAAATGGCCGAGATGATTTGTAGCAACCCGACGCAATCTGTGTGACTAGATTATGCCAAGGATATTCGGTGGTGCTACTTATCCCATCATCTCTTCATAAGCTTTATCCATGCATGCATAGTAATTAAAATATCATGGTTGATAGTTTCGCATTATCTGCAAAACCAACTGATTTCATCACATCACCTCATTTTGATTACTCCAAATGGCATATCTACATACTGATCATCCAATATTAATTTCATTCTTGTAGTATTGTTCCCCATGGTTCGCATGCGGATAGGACTCTAATGTTGCACGGCATTTCACGCTTTAAGGATATGTTCAAGATAATTACTATGATAAAAAAACAATAGTAATATCAAGAAAAACTTCTAATCATCCGACGGCCTTGATTAATTGGGCCAATGGTGTAAATTCGGGTGTAAACAATAATATATAATTTCCAATAGAGGACTTGTGAGGTTCAAATGCATATTAGCTGCAAGATTATATGGTTTAGATCTAAAAACGTAAAATATTTGACTACCTAATAAAGCAAAACCAAATTAAATTCTATCAATCATAGAAAACTTAATTTCTTGTTTTGCTTTGTTAAATGATCAAATATTTTAAGACTTTAGATCTAAACTAATATAATTTTATAGCTGATATGCATTTAGTCCTCAGAAATCGTCAAAATGAAGATCTTAGAAGAGCAGCACTCTGTGGCATAAAATCGTGGAGCCTTGGATCCATGATTGAAAAGTGGAGTGGGCTGAACTTCTAAGCTAATTTTTTTCTCAATCAAATTTTCAGCCTTCGTCTCCTTTGTTTTTACAAATTTTACATATATAACCGAAGAAGTATAGGATATGTCATTTCATAACATCTATAATAAGATACGTCATTACAAATTAAAATGATTACAGTAATCTGGACTACTATTTTTTTTTTTTTGGACAAACGATATCATCTACATTAAAAGAGTGAGGAAGTGGACTAAGCCTCATTCATATTCTTATTCCGACACTCTAATTTTGAGCCGTAAATCACAACATTAAATTAAATCCA